GCCTTGGTTTTGCTTTCCTCGCAGATGACCGTCTCTTCTTTGTCTTCTTCTTCTCTTTGAAATCGCTGTGATCATCTCCGGACGGTGGAGCAACGTCTGCTTCATCACTGGAGACGGGCTCTCGCATAATGCTGTCCTCGTCTTCCTCTTCGCCCGACGGCTGAGCAGGCGTGCGAACCGGAGTAGGCCGGTTGTCGATCATGTCCTTGTTCTTCTTTGTCTTCTTCAAACTGAGACGCGGCTTGGGGGTAGATGTCTGCGCGTTGCTCGCTCCTCCGTTCGTGGGACGCGGGTCGTCGTCCGGGATCTCGTAGAGGTTTCTCGATTTCGCGACGGGGGTTTGTGGCTTCTTGATTCGTTTTAGTTTCGACTTCTGGACGGTCCGTGGTTGCTCGGCGTCCTCGTCTTCCCCGCCTCCAATAAGGTCTCGAAGTGTAGTCAGCGACTTGGGCGTACCAATCTTCCGCCGCTTAGCCGATGAGGGTGTTCCGTCAGCGCTCCTTGCAGCAGCTTTGCGTGTATGTGCGTCATTCGACTCCGGCGCGTCCACTTCTTGAGCGCGCTTGTGTTTCGATGCCGTATGCGAGGGTGAGGCGGTCGCGTCTGCGATCATGGTTGTATCTCCGTCCTGGTCCATGCCTGCGTCTTGCATGGCGTCGCTGATAGCCCGATCGCGCTTCGACTGCTTGCTCTGCTTGTATGTGCGTTTGCCTTTGGTTGCGCTGGACGGAATGACGTGGCTGGACATGGGCGAGGAAGCAGTCGCTTGCGCGGGTCGTCCGGGAATTTGGGAGTCGGGTACCTCGACTGCGGTGGAGTGGGTGAAAGCATTGGTGGCAGGCGATTCGGGCTCCGGTTGCGTCGCAGGAAAGGGAAAAGGAGATGACGCCGGAATGTCGTTCTGGGCTAGCATGCCTTTACCTGGAGAAGTCGCGACACTCTTCTTCGTCAGACCGAGTGCGCTGTTTCGCTTGCGCTTCTTCTGGATGAGAGGAGAGGCGTCCTGGCTGCCGTCGACCTGGGAGAGGGTGCCAATGGAGCCGGCGGCGCCGATGCGCGTGCCCTTTTCGCTCATGAGCTGCTCTGACGCGGCGACGTCATCCATGTCTGGGTCTGCCACTCCAATGCGTTAGTCGAGGCTCTGCACGGGAAGGCGGAGGTTGATGGAGCGAAAAAGTGCCCATTAAAACGCGTCGAGGCCGTCTACTCACTAAAGTGGGACCTGCGCGCCGTGGCGGGGGAAGCTACCGTCGCGGCCTCGCGTTTTGGGGAAGGAACGGGCTGAGAAGAGGAAGTACCCATCCTTCTCCTCAGATCGCTGAAGATGGCATACCCAGGGCTGGATTCGAGCATTGGCGTCGTGATAGCCTTTTGCTGTCGCGAACTTTGTCGATAACTCCAAAAAATTGACGTGTCGCGCTGCGCGAGAGACGTTTCTGGTCCCTGACTAGCCAAACCCGGGCTAGGCTATCTCTGGCCCCGGTTCACTGATACCCAGCGGTCCTCCCCGCTCCCCGCTCACTCCTCTCGTCCCGTGTGAGACACGCATCCCGGAACGGATTCAGGTCATGGCTGATGTATTGCTGGCACCTCTTCTCGTGATCCCACGACTGCTGTATCAATCGCACCGTACACCTGAAGCCACGTCGTAGCAGAATGTTCTCCAATACGACGATGGATGTCACACCCGAGCACGTGGAGATTGAGACAGAGACGCGGACTCGGTGATCAGCTACTTGTTCGAATCGAACATCGCTGTTCTATTTTCCGGTATATCTGCAGTAGTAAAACCTCGGAACATGGGGCGGTTCATTCGATGTGACTTGTCAACAGCATACCAGAGAGGCGCACTGAGCACTCCGGGATGATCCAAGACTACTGTTATACTCCTTGAGCACTTAAGAACCTTCTTGCGAATCGCTCTCCAGATCCATACAGCATCCTCTCACTCGGCCCATTACGTCCTCTCACTTCATTGCGTATTTCTTTGATATGCATATCTGTTGGCACTGATGTGTATAGCTACTAGCATCTCTTCAATCAGTCAACTTCTATTCCCACTTTCACTTACGATCATTACACTGTCGGACGGAATTGAGTTTCATCACTCATCGCATACCCGATCTGCTACATCAATTATTCACGTCGACTTACCGGGCTATGGGCGACAGAGGCTTCCGAAATCTCATGTTGTCTCAAGCTCTCTAAAATGGGTCAACGACAGAAGCAGAATGAAACTCGCCATACCGAACGACAAGCCGTACTATCGGGGCTAAATGCGAAGATCGAAGATCTCGACGTCGCTATCGCCAGTCTGATGGGAGAACAGCATTCACTGAAACGCGCTCGAGAATACGTTCTATCGACAAACAACACCGTAACAGGTGTCTCAAATGATAACACTGCTCGCGCGGAGTCAGCCCCGAAATTACTCAAAATACCTACATACCCTTCACCGTTCCACCAAGCAAGGAAAATACAGTCAAGTCTCCGCCAGGAAGTACTGATCTGCAACGCCATGGATCGGGAAAAGAGTTCGTCGCCTCAGGGATCTGTTGGATTGCTATCGAGCGACGAGTTCGAGGCTTCTTTTCCAGACCATAACGTACACGGAGGCAACAAGGACAGCAACCACATTGACGGTGGCGATGACAAGGGCGTTGGAGATGATGTTAGGCCATCCGTTGAACGCATATCTTCGTCAACACCAGAGATTCACTCTGCAACTTCCTCAGTCATAGCAGCCAACACGTTCTCACGCAGCAGCACTCCTTCTCCGGAAATTGAGCCAGGCGCATCTAAGCCATTAGCTCGAACCGGTCAAGGCGCTCATTGGCAGACAAAACGTGTGGCCAAACGCAAGTTACAGGAGAACGCGGCCAAAGCCCGAGAAGTACGGAAGAGGAAGTTGGCGAAATCATCAGCAGCATGAGACTGAGATCTAGGTCCACGAACAAAGGAAAAGTTCTATGCATATCGGGGTATGTTCAGGCGTTTAGGCAGGAGTTTGGAGTTGTTGTCATGATGGAAAAGTTTGGATGGGATAGGTGTTAAGAGTGAACACTTGTAGTTACCGAAAAATCAAAAGCTATGTTTTCTCCAGTCCGATGCTTCTACATTTACTAGTATGTTACAAGCCTACTAATCTTTCTCAGACACAACAATTGATACCGAGAGTCAAGGAGGATAAACCCGACTATTCGCAACGCCCGCGTTCAAGGACGCCTCTCTACGTCCACTGTTGAAATCCCACACATTTTGAGTGGCTCAAACCCCCATCCTCTAGTCTTCCAAAACAACCCACCATGCTGCGCTCACTATATATAGTGTGATACTTGGATGGATAATGAGGGAGTTGGTGATGCGTAGAGAATGGGCGATGTTTTTGCAGGATTGGCCGTGTCAGTAGCTTTGCACATAATGCAGCGGCGGGCGATGCGACATGGGAACGTCAATATTGCCTGGAAGCGACTCTCATGCAGAAGTGTAAAACAAGCATTGCGCTTTCTCGTCGCAAGGATAGCAGAATTATTCCCTTCGCGCTCGGGGTCTGGTGTATTCCATTGATGATGTTCGCCGCGGTAGTTGATAGGCTTGGCAATTTTCTCGCACACGAAGCCACTCCCACAGGCGCCGCCTCGCTGCGCTCGATCACTGACAAGTCATGCAGTTAAACATCTATTTACTGTGGGCTTAAACGCGCTCAATATACGACCAATGTTGATAGTATTCATGGTGTTACGCATCGCCCTGGGTCCTCGTCCCTTCCTCGCAGGACCCGGTTCATGGGCGTCGGAAAGCGCGACGCGATGCGAGACGCAGCTTCCTCCGCCACACCATCAACTTCCCAACCACCTCATCAACTTCGCATGTTTTCTTCCTCAACCGACGAGCAAGCCCATCGCATCGATGAAAAAAAGGTACAACCTGTCAGATTGCCATCAACGTCCTGCCTCCCAGCGCAACACGAAGTCGCAAACCAGTCAGCTGAAGATCATCGCCACGAGCGCCGAAGCACCACGTAAAAAAGCCTCACTCCGGGACATCGAGGCTGATAGTCATCAACCAGGGTGGAGATTCTGTGGCTACTTAGAGTAACTCAGAAGAGGATGCATACTATTAGAAATGATTCTATGAAGTATGATCGACATGATGAGCAGAAGGAGGGACGGAGGGAGGGCGGTTTATATAGGCAGAGGGGGGAGGGCATGGGCCAGGAGGGCACGTGATGCCTAGGTGGCATTGGGAGGAGGATTTTTCACAAGATCCACTGTGTGTGGCCGGTGTTGGCCGGGAGGGCCTGTCGTGGGGGCTGGGAGTGAAATTTCTGAGCGTTGACGGGGTGTTTGTTCAGTGTGGGATCATAGCGTTCGGCCTGCGGTGTGCGTGCGGGCGAACTTTACCACTGTGACGCGTGTGAATGGTTGTTGTGTTGGTTTTGCGGAGACTTGTACCACGGCGAAAATGGCGGTCGAATCAGGTTGGGTCAGGGGCGGTGGATAGCGGGCGGGTCGCGCCTTTGAAGCGTTGCGCATGACGGAACACGAAAAGAAGGCGAGAACATCACTGGATCAGGTCGCGACCACTTGCGGATAATGAGCACGATGGCGACGAGCAGAACTTTGTGTCTGAGTCGATGAGCTATCATTTGATCATGTCTCGTCGCAATATGAGCCCGGTGTTGGCCGTCTACTGCCAATCGCACGTTCTTTACACCGGCTCAAATGGCTACCTTCAACGCTTGAGCTACTCCATCCGGATGTCACTACAACACTATGGAGGAAATCTGACTTGAACGGTCGAGAGTGATCCGCAATGTTTGTCTTTCTCTGTTTGTTGCCTGTGATGTCTCCATACCGTTGGTCGCAACTCCTGCGACGTTCAGCCTCACCTATCCCTCATCCACGCTAGAGATTGCAGTGCAAAAGCCTTGCATTTGCATATGCCCTCCGACTTCTGCGCTTCCCAGCCTTGCGGTCAGCCTTGTCGTTTTCCAGTTCCTACTCACTGTCCTCCACCACAAGCTTCGGCCCCACGGTCCTCCCATCAAACCGCTGACGTCGCTCACTGACATGAACATCCACCTCCCTCCCCCGCTTCCTATACCCCTTGACAAGCCACTCGCCAAACTGATACAAACAAGCCAACCGCGCCTCCCCTCCCTGAAGATGATTCACACCTTCAAGATACACTTTTTTGACCCCGCCATGTTCAAGCATCGGTCTGAATCCGAAGGCATCCAGAAAATCTTCTAGATCGCGAGGTCTCTGGTATTGTGTGTACGCTCTATCGACGAGCTGGATCCAGTGGAATGACATGGCGATGGTGTCGAGCTGTGTGCATTTCAGCATAAGGCTAATGTCGAGGTTCTCTTCGATGTCATGTTTGAATCGGATGATATGCGCTCTGTACTTTACGTGGGGGAAGTTGATGCGCTTGATGGCTGCGAATCCCTGGGTAGTCGCTACGCCATCGATGGTGACCGCGGGGAACGTCGAAAGGAAGTCTGCGAACCAGCGGGCGATTCTGAAGGGCTTCTTTGCATCGTACTTGAAGTCGAACCACTCGGTTGTTGAGAGCATGAAGAGGGTGACTTCGCTCAGGAGCTGCTTGTTCGCAAATGCGAGAGCAGGTAGCCACGGCGCGACTTTCGTGGTCGTCAGTTCATCCTCAGCCTTCCGATCGCAGATGATGAGGTCGTCTGGCCAGCGACAGGTGCAACAAGGGTTGTTGTAATTGTCGACATGGAGATGCTTTGCTAGACTCGAGGTGTTGCGCGCATTCTCCAAATAGGCCTCGAAGACGTCGCAACAAGGCTTGCGGTATCTGAGGTGGCCATGATCCGCCAGCGTGGAGTCATTGTGCGCTGTCTCTAGGTGCAAGTAGGCTGCGAAGATCTTGAGACGTAGCTCCGCGGGTAGGAGGAGGAATTTGGTGAACTTGGGCTCATGAAAAGATGCTACTTGATGACGGGCGACTTCGGGGATGAGGTTGGCCGCAGTCATTGTCGCGTTGCGAAGTGTCTACCTCTCTCGTACTTTCGAGTAGTCGGTGACTGATGGTAGCATGGAGGCCTTGATTCCCCCGCGCGGGTTGCCTGGCGCCATGCTTAGATGCCAGGATTACATACCTACGTCACGTGATACCTTCATCTCCGCAGACGTCCTTTACCTAGGTAAATTCACTTGAGCTACTGCCACACCCTGATGCCTAGACTAAAGCTGTTGGCGCACGGTCTCTGTAAGTATACTTTTAAGCGCATGTAAGTTAACTGCATTGTTCACGCTTACCGCCGCAGTGTGTCAACCCGTTAGTCCCTGCCAACTCTCACAGAACTTGATCTTGACGAATCAAAATGTCGAACTACATCGGTTCTACAGTACCAGTATGTCTCGAGGATTAGAACGCTCGAGGCTTTAACTAAGCAAGCACTTCAGGTCAACATGCCCAGGGAGAACGCGCACCTTGTAGACGAAGCCACAGCCTTTGAGGCTTTCACCCAATACACGGAAATCTCTGCAGAGGAAGAGTTCACCAGGATATCGGCAGCGTGCGTTGCATACCTCGAAGACGACCGCAAATCTAGTTTCGAGGCTTTCGTACCGGACTGTCATCTGTATGTTTTGAAGACTCTGAAGCTACTTTACAAACACGAGGGCCATGTGTCGATTTGCGATGCTGTCTTTTTCGACATGGCAGGCTGGTATGACGCATTCAGGGTTCCGTATTTTCACGAGCATCAGTATCATTGCTGGTACGGTTGCTGTTATGTGGGCAAAGATACGACCAATATCCTTGTATCGCGCGACGTCCCGACCGCGGTAACATATATGCACCAAACTACGAATGGCCTGGTACCGATCGAGCAGCTGGCATTCTGTGATCTCGCAGAGGTCGCAACGGAGTATTTGGCTTTCACCAACGATTTCGATATATGGCCAGACGAGAAGGTGGCTGCTTTTCGGGAGTTCTCAGGTCCTGTCGTCGAGTGGCTCCACTATGAGAACGGCATTGAGCGAATCGAGTGGACGGCTTTTAAGGATGTCGCTGCAGCAGTAACGGGATATCTATCCTATGAGCCGCCACCATACTTCCCTCACTTCTTACAACTTCCGGCTGAACTTCGAAAGATAGTTTACCATTACTATCTTCTCGAACATGGAACTGTATGGCCGGATTCGCACAACCCTCACACGGATGATTGGGATATTTCTCAAGAATGGAATTGTTGTGTATGGCACTACCCAACCTCTTTGAAGCTTTGCAACAAGAGCGAGAGGACTTTGTTCCCAAACCCGCGACATTGCAACTATTGGTCACGTTCGCTCCCTGCTTTAGCCTCCACATGCGGACAGTTGCAGGGCGAGGTCGTTGTCTACATGCTTGAGCGCACGCAGTGGATCTTTCTCAACTTTGAGGCGGGTGACGAAAACTACGACGGTGGCTCGTGGGTTCACAACGAATTGACCGCAATCCCTCATGGTGATGGTTTGCTGGCGGTAAAGAACCTAGTCATTCGTCTTGGAGATGTGTCTCACCTCTCTCAGGCGTCACTCGTTCCAAAAAGCCCCATGGTACAGCTTGCAGTTGCCTGCGTCTTCCTCCGAGAGATTGAATTGACTGTGCCTACCCGAGAGCTGTTTAGCATAAACTGCCGAACAGGCCTGCGTACTCTACGGTCTGTAGATACGCTGATAGACCTATTCGCACTCCGACCTCTGCTCAATTGTGAGCGCTTGTGCCGGGTCCGCATTAACTGCGTAGACAGATATCTTATAACTTGTTATCCTCGGTGTGGATTGGACGCGATTTTCAGTTTAGGGAAGTGGTTGATGATGGGCTTTTTGGTTCAGCAAGAGCGGCGAGTTCAGGTGATTGTCACCGATCTCCACGACGGCCGGCCTTCAGAAACAGTCGTCACTCTAGATGAGGCAGATGAGAAAGAGGTGGATGAGTGGCCCAAGGCGAAGAAAGCTAAGGCCTCCCTCAAGCGGACAGGAGCGCGACGAGAGCTCAGCATTTTTCCATCCTTTTTGCATGAGAAAGGGTAGAAAGGCATTGCTAAGAGCAACCTTGGAAGTCACAGCGGACTGGCCTAAATACTTACAACATCTCATCAGTAGCTAAAGACACCAAAAAGGACTTAATGGATGCAAAATTGCTGCACTAAGCTCGTTACCATCCCAGAATGCGCCTACATAACACAAACCTGCCTACTCAAGGCTCTTAGCGTCCCTCTCCCACTCCCACTCATCTTCATTCTTCCAATAATTAGTGCCACTCTTCCTAAATCCCATCTTCTCCAACACTCTTCCACTTCTCGCATTAGGCTTTTCCGTCTCAGCGATGAACCTCCTTACACCCTTCTCCGCCGCCGCCCACTGCATGACTGCTTCCGCAGCCTCGCGAGCTACACCCTGACCCCAATACGCTGGCGCAACACCATAGAGCATTTCGACCATCTCTTCCCATGGTGGTAGTGGTTCGTCAGAATCGTCGCGTGGAGGAAGAGAGGTTGTTGTTGCATCTCGGACGCCTGCGTAGCCTAGCCATTCGATGGAGCCGAGTGTTTGGCACACGTTATCCATCTCATCTCCGTCGATAATGCGGACTTTCTCGCTCGCATCTTTTAAAGACCGGCCCATCGCATGGTCAGACCACTCTTTCGGTCGCCAGCCAACTGCAAAAGTGCCCAATCCCCTTTTCTCCCAACACTGTGCAATGTCTCGTGTAGTGATCGAATTATGCATTTCTTCTTGCGTGCGTTTTACTACGGGGAACTTGTCGCCAAAACCCATCTCGCAGAATGACGTATCTGCGAGGAGGTTCGCGAAAAGAGCGACATAAGCCGGTATCGAGATAGCCAATAGCGTAGGTACAATGATGAGTCGTGGTGTGACAAGGGCGAACCGCGAAGACGGTGTTAGGGATTGTTGGGAAGCCATCTTGAGGTGTGCCGGGATTGATGAGATGCATGGAAAGTCTTGCAGATACTTGTACACTTGGTAAGACGATAGAAGAGATGACTCGGAGGATCTTCCGCCTCAAGAAGAAGCCACTAAGTGTAATCCAGCCTAGCGCCATATGACTCAAAATGATCGAGAAGCACCGGATGATATCCTCACGTCAATCTAGGGAAAACCTGGACACGTCTGGAGCCTACATCGACGTTAGGCCACCTAATTTGCAGGTTTTCTTCTTGATGTAGCCTCTAGGGTGTTCAGTTTTTCCCTTGTATGAGGTGTCCTCACCATCTAATCTAGGCTACCTTGTTCGCCTTCATTGGCTCGGTTTGTAATGGCGAGAAATGCTTCCCGCGCATGCTGTCCCAGCTCTCAACCAACGCTTCACACCTCCGCCAGCTGTTATCCACCACTTTCTCATGCTCTTCAACAGTCCTTTGCACCCAGCCATCCCGCTCGTCTGCCACCATCACCACTTCGTCACCTTTGCCGGTATATTTGTATTCTTTCCACGGCGTTACCCCATTCGCGAAGCTGTTCCAAGTTCGTGCGTGTTGGGTAGAGATGTCCTTGAGTCTTTGTGATGGATAGCGGAATTGGTACGTTTTGAACACGTAGTAGACGTCGACCCAGTGATGCGCTTGCTGCCAAAAGGGACTGGTAGCGAAAGGATTGCGGACGTCGAACACGTACCGATAGACCTTCTTGTTCGTATGCTGGGTGAGATATTGTGCTAAGTAGTGAGTCGGCGCTTCAACTATTAGCTATGCACACTGCATAATGCGGAATGTCTCACCATCGAAAACGACGTCCCCTACCCAATGTGCGCCTGCAGTTATAAACACGTTCTTATCCATTCCCGGCGAGATGCCGTAAGCTTGCTGGACGAGGTCCGCGCTTTTCTCGCCTAGCTGCTTTGCGATGCCTTCTAGGAAAGCGTCCGGGCTGACAGCAGTAATTCCTGACATCAACGTGACGCCCTGCATATCTGAGTAAGCTTCTCGATTTGGACGTATGATTGAGAAGCATCGACTCACCTCGAAACCTGTAGTTCCCAGCATAATCTCGTTGACCCACTCGCATTTGCCAAGCAACGCGGGGATGCGGTCCCATGTCACAGAACCCGCTTCATCACCAAACCATTCAGAATCTTGGACCGAAAGCCACATATTACCAGCTGCTCGATGCTCGGCGGATTCTTCGACAATCTTTTGTACGTCCATCTGACGTAATTGCCCTAGACCTGCCTCGCCTTCTTCTTCAATCCCGACCCTTCTCAAGAAGCTGTTGTATGTCTCGCTTGCGCTTTCGGGTGATAGCGGTGCTGTGGTTGGCCCAATAATGCCAGACATGAGAATCGCTCTCTGGAACAGCGGACCCGAAGACGGAGGTTGGCGTAGCATGTGGGCGCATATTGACATGGAGCCAGCGGACTCTCCAAACGCAGTAACCTTCTTCTTGTCCCCTCCAAAGCCCTCGATGAACTTTTGGATCCAGAGAAGCGCATTTCGTTGATCGTTCAGTGCGAGATTTGCATTTCCAGCCTCCGGAGTATGTAGATAGCCAAGCGCCCCCAAACGATATTGTATGCTCGCGGAGATGATGGGTTGGCCATCGAGGATCGACTGCTCGACCATGAGAGATGTGTTGTGCTGCTCGTCAATCTTTCCGAGCACGAAGCCTCCCCCATGGATGTAGACCGATACAGGGAGTCTTGAAGAGGGTGGCTGCTGCTCAAGGCACGAAAGCGGTACATTCACCTGGAGGATAGCACATTTCAACTCGTCTGTTGATTGTGGAAACTTTTCGCCAGAGAAGTTACCGCCGCCAACCGCGTCATTATCAAAGACTTGAGGGCATGCATAGCTGAGGGCATTAGCTTCTCTTCCGAGGGAAGCAGCAGGGCAAGTCATACCCGTGTTCCGTGAAGTCTTTTTTGCCCGCAAGCGTATCTGAGAGAACAGACTGCTTGAAGCGAGCGGGAATGGTGGCGTATGGCACGGCGCGAAACTGAACAACGTTGTCGGGCGTGACGATGCCTGTCATGGGGCCTAGGTCGGCATGGTGAAACGTGAAGGTCTGCTGTGCCTGGTGTTCTGAAGCCATGTTCTCTGTTCGGTGGTTCTGTCACGCTATCGAGGAACCGCGAAGACAGACACGATATATATAAGATACCAACTACGCAGACGATGCGGGGAACAATACCATTTTTAGACAAATTTGTCTCTACCGGGAAGTGGAGACCAGGCCCGCCGAGCCGGTCGGACGAGCAAGAAACATCCGATCCGCTTACAGAAATGCTCATTATTGATGCCTGCAATGCTGCCTTGAGCCCCGTGATGCGCCAATTCCAGGATGGGTGGTGTGTCTGACAACGGACAAAATGCGCATATCTTGCAGTTGTAGTAGCTGGGACGTGCGATAGGTAAGGCCGCCGCTTGATATTGTGACTGCAAGTAAGCTTCAGCCCTTCGGACTCAGAATGACTGCCGAGACACATCTTTGTTGGAGTAGCGGCGGGGTTATTCGTCGGCACATCAACGCGCGAGACCGATGGTGAACGGTTGTAATAGAGCGCCGAGAAGCGAGCCAATCAGGTCGCTACAAAAGTGCGACCGTCTCATTTCGAGATAAATTGTAGAACAAAGCTGATGTTGTCTGTATGGGGTTCGCGAATTGGTGATGGTGATGACGTGAACGACTGCAGGAAGAATGCCCGGTGGTAGGTGTTTGCGCTAGCTCGAATGAGTGCTAGCTGGCTTTTTCATTTCCAGACGCGTCGCGAAGCCTTCGAAGGTTAGACGCGTCCCATCGACGCGTCTGGCCTTCGCGACTAGCAGCGATGTTCAACAGCAGAAACGTAATATAATGTTTCAAGAACGGTACCTAGCGACAAGGTGGCTAGTACCCGCAGGAGAAC